CGACATGACTACGAAGCGTTAGTACCGATGTGACTCGGATATGACGTGTCTTTGAGACACTGATCCGAGACCAGAAAACTCTGATCCGTAACATAAAAAAAAAAAAAAAAAAAAAAAAAAAAGAAGCTGCGGCTCTTCATTTTCTTGATTCGCTATTTGATTAAGGCAACCCTTCACTGGGTTAGGCCCTCGATAGCGAAGAAGAACGAAGAAAACGCAAGACAAAGACGATGAGCTACGCCGCCGCCGCATCCTCGACTCCAGCCACAGAAGAAGTTTCCGCTGCTGCACCATCTCGACCTCGGACGCTCTTCCTGAAGACCGACGAAGACATGGATTTCCCGAAGATGATGGACGTCCTCCGGAACAACACCACAACAAGTAGGTTCTGCGATCAGGTGAAAGGGCTGTTCGAAGGCCGCAGAGGGATCTGGATCCTCACCTTTGCGCCAACGGACAGCCCGAATTCTAGCTGCAGAGAGAGTTTTCTTTCTTCTACAGGTGGCCTGATACAAACGGCTACGAGTAACATCACTGTGACACTTCCAAGTGAAGCTCCTGTCCGGATCTCCATACGGGGAATTCCGGCGGAAACTCCATACAACATGGCGGTGATCAAGATCAACAAGCTGGGCTGTGGAACGGTACGAAATGCAGTCCAAAATTGGTATCGAGGGACCGACGTCTACAACGGGCACACGTCATTCCTAATGGACGGTTTTAAAAAAGACCGTCTGCCGGAATACGTGGTTATCAATGGTGAAAGCTGCAAGACCTTCCTCCCACGAGAGTTATACACTCCGACGTGTGGGAAGTGCCTCACCACTGGCCATATATACAGTGAATGTAAGAACGAAGCCGTCTGTAAGTATTGTAAAACACCGGGTCACTTACTAAGAGAATGTCAAAAACGGAAGCGTGATCCAGTCATCACCAACCCCGTGACAGGATGGAACATGCCTCCGCAGAAAAGAAAACCCCTGCAAAAAGATACGCAACAACAACGTCAGAATAGCGTGCAACCTGCTGAAACATCAGAGCAGAGCCAGAATGACGAGCAACCTGCCGAAACAACAGAGCAGAGCCAGAATGATGCACAACCTGCTGAAACAACCGACAAGGTAGGTGATTTTTCTACCTCCGACTCGGAGTTAAACTGCCTAAGAGAAATTAAAAACTGGTCTGAATGTGAGGACGTCGGGACTGTAGTAAGTCCACTGAAAACTCCATCTCCACAATTGCCAAGACCACCCAGGCAAATCTACAGATTGAAGGAGTCGTCAACTATTGGAAACACGCCATTCCATCCCCTTCCAAAGGGCAATCCTTACATCAAAGTAAGGATTGATAACTTTGAGTCTTGCGACACCACGTCTTCGTCGGTCTTCGAAACAACACCGGAAGCAGCGACATCTGCACCAGCGAACCTTGAGTCGAATCTACCGCCGCCAATTGTGGATCTTACAGAGGAAAATAACAAAAGAAACAGAAAAGACACAACAACTTCCACAGAATCCTCAACATCCGAATCAATCGTCAAAAAAAAATACGGTAAAAAGAAAAGGTAACTACCATGTTTCGGCCCCAGGTAATCAAATTCCTCTGATGTCACTCATTTCGGTTCTTTGGACATGCCATATTTCAATTCGGCTTCTCAAACCTCTTGTATATAAAACGCCCAGTTGCCGGCGTAAAACCTCAACTCAGTAAATACCATCTCACATATAGCGGATGTGATGACAGGAAGCCCACCACTCTACGTGATTTACAAAATGGTGATCTCTATTACAAAGAGAATTGATCCATAAACTTCCGTCGGCATAGTCTGGGTATGAAGGCATTTGGGCTGGATTCCAGACTTGTCGTTCTGATCCGTAACTTGATAAAAAAAAAAAAAAAAAAAATTTCTTGATCATTGTTTTTGCCTAGGCATTACTTTTATACATTCCACCGGGCGCAAATACCGGTACGTGAATGTGTGTTTTCCATCGTTTGAGTTGACCCGTTATTCACTGTTATTTCGCGGTTATTTGATCAAATTGTGTTGGCATAGATTTCGAATGTGGATACTCTTCGAAACTGAGAATTGCCGTTAATCGTTAAATAGGTAAGTTTCGGAGCTGCGGCTCTTTGTTTTTATTTCGCTATCTATTATTTGTATGTGTTCAGTCTCTTCAAACTTAATTATGACATGGGAAATCTTATATTTCAACCCGAATGAAGGCCGGAAACACGTGACAAATTGCTCGATAAAGAGTGAAGCCTTGCTACGATAAATCACCATCAGGGAGATTGCTAAATGCTATTAATACAAAAGGTTAAATACATCAAAATCCATAGTTACATTCCACATTCGCTACAATAGTAATAATATAGAACGAGAAAAATATTATAACACTGCATCAAATACAAAGCTAAATTCTTTCCCAAACTTCTTCCCCTATCAGGAAACGTGGGTTTAAAATATGTATCTGAGCTGCGTCTATTTATTTAATACTGCTGCGTACTCCACTACTGTCCTAAAGTCTGCTTGTTGTAATTTTACTCGATTCTTTCTTTCTGCTATAAAATTTTAGAAAACACACTCTGCGTTACTTTGAATAACCAATCGTGTCGAACATTGTCCCTTCAATCATTTGAGTTGACCCGTTATCCAATCGTTCATCGATATATTTATTCACTGTTTTCCCAGTTGATTATTCAAATTGTGTTGGCATAAATACTGAATGCGAATTCGCTTCAAAACCTAAAATTGTTACCAATCTCTGTTTAAGTAAGTCTCGAAGCTGTGGCTCTTTATTTATTTATATTTTTTTTCGGGTTGAAGTTGGAGATCCTTTTTACCGAAGTAAATAGCGGTACGCAAATTTTGGATTTTCCAACAGCGACCCCTATATCATTCGGGTTTCTCCGTTATTTACTGTTTTTTCTCAGTTGATTACTCAAATTGTGTTGGCATAGATTCTGAATGTGAATACGCTGCGAAACTGAAAGCTATCATCATTCGCTGTTTAGGTAAGTCTCGGAGTTGTGGCTCTTTGTTTCTAATTTCTCTATCTATTATTTTTTTGTGCTGCTTCTTACCGAGCGAGTCAGATCGGTAAGCATTAAGCAAATGCCTGCATGTAAATTCTACCAGGACGGGTTATGTTCCACCACTGAGTATCGCTATAGAGCCAAGGGCTTATTGGCGAACTGATAACAGTGCTCTGACTGGAAAACTTGTTCGGTCAAAATTGTATTGGTAATGGCAGATTGGCTACATTTGTTTGATATGAGAATTATCTAAGTGAGATAACAGCATAATTTCATAGTATTAGGATTCTGGAACCGGTGCTCATTTAATGTAGGCCGCCAGGGGTGTCAGGCAATTTCTGAATTCGGGTCTGCAGGTCTGGGTGTACCGGTAGTGTACCGGTAGTTTAATATCACCATGCACTTCCAGTGGGCCTGGCTCAACAAATTTTGCAACCTCATCCAAAATCCACTTAATCGTCACAGTGATGTAATAAGGCTACGATATAAACTTGAATCTTGCAGCTCATTCTCACTGCAGCACTGTCCTGCTGTCAGACTGTGGATCTTAGAGTGCAGGTTTTTTTGTATTTCACGACTTTTAAAATGAAAATGAACAGATAGTACAATAAAAAGATGCGCTGACTGGAAATAAATAGATGATATGCATAAACTAAAACGAGTATTTAAAACTAACCAACAGAAAGTGGGAACACCGAATAACCTAAAAGAAAGTGCAGAAGTGAGGAACTAAATACAGAAATAAATGAATATTATAAACAATTGGAAACACCTGAAATTGAGCTTAGTTCGTGTTTTTTTAGTTTGTAGATGTGAACTCGCGTATAGCTTTTTTGTCATCAATTCCTATTTCAGTATTTTTAAAATTTTGGATCAACATCTTTTAAAGCACCTGAAAGTAAAGAGAAAAAATGAATGGTAGGATTTTGAAAAAGAAAAAGAGTGAATGTACAAAGGTCCAATCATAATAGGCTGTTTGTGAATTCTTGTCATTTGTAAATTCTTGAATGTGGTCACTGACTCGTGAATCTCGTAAGTTTGTCCACAGTTAGTGGCGTTATACCTATATGACAGGATCTTTTAATGCCGTTGATTTATTTGATCTCGCTGAAATTGTCACAGATACTATCACCAGTAAAATTGGCAGAGCGAACCATTGTTTGACATAAGCCCACAACATAGAGTGAAATTATTCTGCATGATTGGATGAATTTTTTGCAAAATATTTTTCAACATAATATTTATATACTGTATATATTTTACTGCATAAATACGATACTTGGGCAAGAATGCAGGAAAGATTGTAGAAATAAATTTTAATTTGTTTTAATTCAAATCTCATACCAAGTTATCTTATCCACAAAGAAAATTTTAGACTGACACCATGAAAGAGAGATAGGATTCAGTTTTTTTTCTATTCTGAAAAACATCTTTTTAGCTTCAAATAAGTTCGCTTAATGATCCAAATTCCAGAAATCTGTGGACATTCATAAATGTGATCCATGTATGATAGAAATTCTTTGTTACTGTATTAGCAACTGTAAATAGAATGAAAATATGTCCATGACTATATGACTATATTTGGCGCGGCGGTGTGGCTCAACGGGCTAAGCGTTAGGAATACGCTCGCCACCGCACCTCTAATTACTCTGCGTGGGTTCGCAGGTTCGAATCCCATGCAGGGATGGTTATGTGCGAGAGGATTGCTGGACTCCTCGCCGTCATTGGGCCGTTCACGTAACCGCTGGTCGGTTACGGCTTTCTCCACCACCAAGTCCATGCTTCCGAGAACAAACAATATAACGAATCCCATACCCGACTTGGAATGGTAACCGGACGAGAGGCCGTGGTTCGCCATATGGATAAGCCGTCTTATTGGCTTTCCTCTTCCTTGGGATAAATATGTAAATCCTATCCTATCCTATATATAAATGAGTAATGTGTTGCAGTTCAGCTCACACAAAGTTAATCATAATAATAATCTTTTTAATATTTAATTGAAAAAATATTATGAACTCTGGATCTATAGAAGAAAAGAAAACACCTAGGAAACAAAAACAATTATCTATTTTCGAAGCTTTTGGAAAAGCAGCAAGAAAAAGAAAGCATATGTCCGATGAGGAATTACCAACTTCAACTTGCTCAAAGAAAATTCAGTCTTCACATTTTGGTATAAAACCAGAGACTTCAATGGATAATATGGAAAAGGATGATAAACGTCCCTCTAAAGATGTTATTATATTAGATGAGGATTTGGACATTATTGATAATACCAATGAAAAGACATTGACTGAAACTTTCGACGAAGATATTATACCAGCTTCACCAGAAAATTGTGCAATTTTGAAGAAAGTTAATTCAAAAGAAATGCCAAAGTGTAAAGATACAAATTCATCAGTCAAAGCGTTGTCTGATAGTCCGAATCCAACTCAAGAAAAGGATGATTTATATGAAGTAATTATGGCTGATAAAAGAGAAGCTAATAATAGACTATTGAAGAAAGAAATTGTAGATGATTATTCGGATTTATCGCAAAGCACCCCTCCTCCAAAGTCACCTCCCCCCAAGAGGAAAGTTTCGTCTCCCGCCCCATCTAGAGAAAACTCCGTTTTAAATATGTATGATAGTCCAGACTTGATTGACACTTTCCCAGACTCATTTGACCTCGAATTTGATGATGAACCTGTGACAGTATCATGGTTGGGGAAACCAAAAAGCCGTTTAAAAGTTGCACCCGACTGTCTTATGCCTCTCCCTGACCTGAAGCCTTCACAACACCACACAGTTTTATTCAATACCTCATATTTTGATATAGGGCCACCTCCACCAAGTCGCGTTTCTTATACAGACGCTTGGGATTCAGATCATGTTAAACTCCCCTGCTCACCAAAAAGTCTTTTCCCAACTCCACAAAGTAAAAACGGGAAATTAACGAACAGATGGGAATTGATTGAAAATGCGTTGTTCAGTGACATAAGAGACTCTAAGCAGCTTGAAGAAGCAATTCTTAAATATAATGTTCGGTTCAATAGGTCTTTTACTGCTCTCCATGATTTTTGTAATCGGGTTTTACTACCAGCAGAACGGAAAGAGTTTTTTGATAAAACGTTACCAAGTATGACAAATTTGGCTTTGTCATTACCGACCATTTTGACTCAACCGATTCCCCTGTTGCGACGTCAGCAAAGTCATTGTATTACATTAAGCCAGCAGCAAATTGCTTGTTTGTTAGCAAATGCTTTTCTCTGCACTTTTCCAAGGAGGAATTCTAGCAGTTCAACTTCAGAATATGCATCATTTCCATCGATTAATTTCAATAGAATATTTGTTGGTTCTGGTTCCAACAAATCTGACAAAAGTATTGTCGGAAAATTACATTCTATTTTCCATTATTTTAAACGTGTTACAACTGAAATGCCTTCAGGTTCCGTTACTTTTGAACATAGAGTTTGCAGTGATTTTCCTGTTTGGAACAAAACCCCTTGCGAGCTGTGTGAGCTTCATATTTGCAAAGATGGTCTCATTGAAGACCAAGGAAAAGGAATGTTACAAATGGACTTTGCTAATAAATATGTTGGCGGAGGGGTGCTAGGATCTGGAATGGTGCAAGAAGAAATCTTATTTTGTATTTGCCCAGAACTTATAGTTTCCAGATTGTTCACTGAAGTTTTAGATGATAATGAATGTTTGATTATAATGGGGGCTGAGCGATTTAGCAAGTATTCTGGTTACGCTAATACATTTGTTTGGGAAGGTGATTATATAGATTCAAACACTCGTGACTCTTGGAGAAGGAAAGTGTCTCATATTCTTGCTTTGGATGCAACCAGGTTTACAAATTTTGAAGACCAGTTTAAAATCGGGAAAATCCGTCGAGAACTTAATAAACTATATTGTGGTTTTCGATGTGAGTTTGACCCAGACTATTCACCAGCCATTGCGACTGGAAATTGGGGGTGCGGAGCGTTTGGTGGCGATCCAGTTCTGAAAGCACTATTGCAACTTATGGCAGCTGCCGTTGTTGGACGTGATTTATGTTATTTTACATTCAGTGATTCTGCCTTGATGCACACTATCCATGAAATGTATACCTATATAAAATCATCAAATTTAAATGTTGGACAATTATGGGATATGATATGTCGTTACAACAATGAAGTAATTGTTTTATCTAAGAAACAAAGCAGATCAAAAATTGAAAATATTTTTGAATATATAAAATTGATAAATAATGATTATGAAGCTTCAACTGATGAAGAGAATTCTGAAAATATCAAGTAAACATTTTCATTGCTCATGTGTGAACATTCCATAAAAATTAACAATAGGAAATAGGTTGTAAGAACATTGTTTTGTTTATTTTATACGATTACTAATCGTCGATTGGATATAAAAAAATTGAATTTTATCATGAATCATAGTACAACTAATTCAGAATATGTAGCGCAATTTATCTGAAGTAACCAGCCTTACTTTTCATACAACATTTTATATACAGGTCTATGGCCAACTGTTTGTCCGGAATGTAGGTATTTCTATCATGTGACATTCGTTCACGCATTTTGCTCCTCAGAGGCCTTTACAAGCAGTTACTGATATCTAAGGAGATACTTTTATTTGGAAGGATTTACAGTTCGACTCGGCACTCAGTTCACCCCGGGTGAGGTGGGGGCTATTGGATTCGAACCTGATATGTCTGAGCTGCGTTGCCAGCAAAGTTGACGTCTAATGCGTTAACCTTAAGGCCGTTTTACTCGGTACTGATCATACTTGGAAGTGTCGATAAAAACTCAAAGTTCCATAATTACCAGTAGTTCTTGTTTATTGTTCATGGTTTCGAAATTTATTATAAAATCCTATTTACTCGTTTTGTTAACTGGTACATGTAGAATTCATAATATAAAGTCACTGTGTATGAAATTTTGAATAGTGATGTCCTTTACCGAATTCACCTGCTTTATTGCCTAGAAAAGCAATTTATGAACTGCTACACCATGCAGTAAAATCATTATATATGCCAAAATTAGTTTTAAAAAATAGTATAAATATACATAATAAGGTAAAATTTACTGAATACAACTTTAATTGTGTAAAAATATAGAAATTTCATTCAACTATATTTTAATTTGTTGAAGTGCTATTGAATATTTCATTTTTCTATTTAAGTATTTTAATTTAGAAATTTTTTGCACATTCCTGACATTTGTATTGTTATATGTGCTGTTCTTATTTCCTTCTATGTTGATTTCCATTATTTCCAATCCGATTTATCTTTTTACATCTTGTTCACTGAGTAGAATTGAACTTACAATCTACATATTATAATTGTTCCTAATTGAACTTCATTTTTACAGAAACTTATTTAAATATAAATACTTGAATAGCTTGTTAGCTCTTAGGAGTTGCAAACAAATTGGACAGTGGACCAGTTTGTGTGGGAAAAATACTCGACAATGTCTTGTGCAATATTTGTTAGATTGCCAAGTCCAACTGTTGATGTTTTGTTTTCAAGGGAGTATTGGAAAGACAACAGCATGTTGTAGGACATAGGTATTCAATGGGCTCCGTAACCAGGCCTTTTTGAGAGAAACTCTCCATGTGCTATTCATTCACTTGTTAAGATACTGACTTGGCTCAGTTTGTAACTTTCTAAAGAAGCAACGAGAATATTGATCAGAGACCGAAGACTTATCGATCGAAAGTTAGGGGATCCCCCAGAACAGCGCTCTTACTCCATAGTGACACCTTGGGTCCCATCACTAATTAATTAATACCTTGCTAAATATACGACATAATTCGCCCAAAATCATAAGGCTTCTGGTCCGAAATATGCGAATGCAAAATCTGGAGCAGATTCAATCTCGCTTTCGTGAGATATCGCGTGCATCTAACAGACAGGCAGACAAATACCTAGCAACATACTTACCGATTAAAATCGATAAGTAATAATAGCATTAATGAAATTTGATAACTGTTGTGTCAAAATGTGGACAGGGCGGTAATTCAAATATGACATTATGTATAAGTTCCAATAGAAAATTTTCATAAATTTATTGTGGGCTCCGTAAATAATTGTCAACTCTTTCACAGGCTCCATAACACTAATAGTTTGAGAACCCCCTGCAATGATTTCAGTATTTTTACGATTTTCCAAGTTCTTGGTATTTATACTATTGTATGTTGAATTTGGTTGATGTCATAATAATATCATAGATGTCCAAAACGAATTGAATATGCAAGTGAATTAAAATTAGTTATATTCAATATTTAGAATTTTTGGATTTATTGATAATTCAAAAAAGTTTCATTTGGAAACCAAGCAAATTATTGTTCATTCGAAGTTTCCTGCATTTCCAATTTAAAAATCATTGAATATATATCAACATTTTTGTTATTAAACATGATCTACTGGTATTTTAGAACATATTCTATGTTTTTCTTATTCAAATATAGTAATATAGGATATATTTAAAATGGTAAAACTTAATTCTGTTATGCTCATTTAGTAATTCATCAATATTTTCAAGATTTATAATTATGTTTACAAATGAGCAAAAATATGATTTACTGTAATATTCTCTGGCCAAAGTGATGATTTGCTAACAAACTATAAAGCTTAACTTGGAAAATATCATGGAGATTTTAGAATTCCAATTCGTTTGCATCATAGATTATTTACTTTTTTACTAGTCAATTACTTGGTAGCCATCGCAAGTGAAAATAGTGATGCAATATTTGCAGTTTTATTCACGGATCTCGGTATTAGTAGGCTACAAACCTAAGCAGTTACACATAAAAAAAAAACTAATTTTACTGTAAATCAAATATTTTTTAGAAAAAATAAATTTTTGAGTTTACTATTTTTTTCAACCAATTCTATTTTGAAGCAATAGTACGAATTAAGACATTATCTAATCAAATAAAACATTGGGACAGACTTGAAGTATGTTTGTTTTCTTCAGAAGCGCAATATTAATGATTTACTACATGTAAGAATATAAGATACCAAATGTAGGTTGTACACAGGGTTTTGTCTTTGTATGTCTAATTTTTGTCATTCAGTTTATTTCAGCTATTAGCCTATAGCATGTTGAAGTTGAAGTTTTGTTATACTTAATATACCTTTATTGATATCATTATAAATGCCTATTAATTTAAACAACTTTACTACCGGGTTTCTTTTAATTCATTTTTGGGATTTAGTTTTCAGTTCTGTACCTGGTATCAAAAATGTTCTAAATGTCATATTATGGAAACTTCAGGATATAAAGAAATATTATAATCATTGTTCTTTGTAACATTTCTGCAGTTGTTTAATTTGCATTGAACTTACATTTTTTTAAAACTTAAAACCAATTTACAGTAGCCCTATACTCGAAATTCCATATTCAAAAAGATTCTTTGGATGCATTCTGAATAGTAAATTATATACAGTAGTTTTGATTCCTGGTCATTTTATCAACATGCATTGTTAATATTAATAATAATGCTAACCAAATCAGACAAAACCAAAATTGTCATGGCAGTTAATAAGATACTGGTAACTCCTGTTGCTTTGCGTCTTCGTCATTGCTATTTAAATTTTATTTCTGATCTCTATCTTGTTAATGAAATCTGGGTATGTTTTGAGACTAGACATTTTTAATCTTTCGACACGCTTGGCCTTAAAGATGTTTATAAATTAAATTAAGTTTATTACTCTTGCACTGCCAAGAAGAAGCTAGTCTGATGATTGGGGAAATTATGATCAATTTTGATGTTTTGTGTAATTTCGTTTGACTGTTTTTTTGCGGACTGTTTGTACAGTTTTGGTATTTGTAGTTTGGACTGATTATATCATTCTCAACATATCTTAACTTGAAGGAAATAACTTTGTGAAAGACATACTTATTTAGAATTAAATGATTAGGATAGTCCATGTAAAAGTTTAGTGCGGACGAACAAAATTTCACTGTTTTCATAACAGATATTTAATTTTGCGGCCATAAAAGCACTACATACCATCGTTCAGTATGCGAGAATATCCTTGGTTCGTGGGATTTTACTAAATTTATTTTTCAAACAGTTTGGATCGCTTAAAAACAGGATTGGGAACCACTACAATATCATCATGCTTTATATCAACTTTGGTTTAACTTTAAACTTTTGTTTCGTTTGGAACAAATTGTATATAATAATTTTTTCTGACATTGTTTTAGATGGACCCAGTCCTTTCTGATTTTTCTAACATTTTAGCTTAAAAATATTATTTAATGATAAGAATTTGTAACTTCAAGTCCTTGCTTCCAAAAACAAATAACTGGCTAACTTATCTGGTACCAGACATGGACTGGTAACTGGACGAGAGGCCGTGGTTTGCCATATGATTAATAAGCTGTCTTATCAACTTTCCTTTCCCCGGGATAAATATCTTATTATGGCTATCCTAACCTCAATTTTGTGACAGCGCAAAATTTGGTTTATATTATTTTGAAGTTTGTATGAGAAATACGGTTAAATATTAAAATACAGAGCTGAATTCCAAAATAGCAGTAATTATTTAAAGCCATTGCCTTATCCACAGGTCAATCAAATTTAAAAAATCTTATCTATGACCATCAATTTTTTTATTCTTGTTTTTATCCATTATGATTGTAATTGCTTAACAAGTTTAACAGCACAGGTATTTCTATTTTTGACATATTTCTTCGGGAATCGAAATTATATTAATCTTAATTTCATCCAATTCGCTTGAGCGAATATGTGATACTTTATAGATAATGTGAAAAATCAAACAAATTTACAAATCTGAATAGGTTGATAAAAATGATAGGTAATCTAAACTTATATTTTGTTCAAGTTTTGGTCTAGAATAGACTATTTGGAAGGTGGTTTATTACTAGTGAAGTCATTTTTATTTGTATGATTTAACATGAATCAGTATTTCAGAACATAAAATATTACAGAAATAAAAACTAATTGAGAACATCTGAATTTATACATCTGAAGTATATCTTAATTTTACTTAATTTCTGAATGTTTGTGTGTGAAGGTTATAAATGTTCAAGTCTTCAAAATGCTACTTTTGAATTTTAATTTTCAGTAACCTGAATAGATGTATCTTTCTTTCCGTATATCAATTCAAAGAGAAACTGCAAGGTATTTAAAAAAACTGATTAAATTATTTGAATTCTAAATAATATAGGTTCCAATATTTTCAAAATTCCTTGATTTCTAAATAATATTGGTTTCAACTTTCAATATTTTCAAAATTCCTTGACATAACATTTCACGTCTGTACTATTATTCAGTAAAGTCTATTTACACATTTATTTTTTGAGTATGCTGTGGCAAACTTACTGAATTCTTATAAATTAGCATTTCTAAATGATATTGATTTCAATTTTTTCAAAATTCCTTGACATTATCATTTCAGGTCTGTCCTATTATTAAGTAAAGTCTATTTACACATTTATTTTTTGGTACACTGTAGCAAACAATCTTTGTAATTTAAGTGATCTACCATTATACTTGTTTATTTATACTCAACATAATGGGTGGGCTAATTTTCTCCTATAATATGCATTTATCCAAATGTTTACATTTGTGGGTAATTTATCCTTCTATAATTCTAAATTAATTCACGAATCTAAATATCGCCACAGTAAAACCAAATTAGTTTGTCATATTTTAAGGTTTTGGGAGAATTGCATTTTTAAAATAGTTTGGTTTTATTAACAGCTGAACTTAAAATGGCACTTCCTAAGATCAAGACCAAAGCAGGTACAGCTTTTAAACTTAGACCAAAAGAGGCCCGCCCACTGGTCAATAATAACAGGAGATAAAAGAAGATCGCTGGACTCATTGCCGACATAGGGTGGTTCACATAATCGATGGTCGGTTATGGCTTCCTACACCATCAAGTCCATGCTTCGAGAAAAATAAATGACTGGCTAACTAATCCCATATCCGGCATAGGGTGGTAACCAAACGACAGGCCCTGGTTCACCATATGATTAATAAGATGTCTTATCTTCCTTCCTCTCTCCCGGAATAAATATGTACCGGTAAGAAATGTAAAATGTTCTAATTTGGTTCCACTGTGACAATAAATTCTTGCCACAGCTTTTGTGGTATTACAGTATTACATAAACTTGAAACTGTGCCTTGTTTATTTTTCGATGAAATTGATTCACTTCAATATTTGGACTTGTTTGGTAATTCACAAATTGATTTTCTTGTTTAGAAGAGATTACTGGTTTTATAATCCTTTTTTGATTAAAGAGCACATTTAATATTTAAGTTCAGTGTTTGGAATTGCAAATTCCAAACAATTCAAAAAATGTTAATTGCTTATCAAGGTTTGAAGATTCAAATCAAATTATTCATTTTTAGTGAGGCATGTCTGACATATCGTCAAATCAACGCTGTGTTTAAGTCATTGGTGCTTTCAAGTTAAAAAGACATGAACCCTTCTGGTTTGTTAAAGCCTGTACAATTTCTGCAGTGACATATTCCGGAATCAGATTTCCCTGTTAGTTTTGATACCTTTTTATGGCAAAATCGCTATATAATCCATCGTATCATTTTCACTTTGAAAATCATATTTCTTACAGTACACAAACGAACAATTTTTGTAATGTGAATTCATGGAATATCTTTTTTTAGCTATTCATTTTGACATGCAGCTATAATTGAGACTTGGTGCTACAGAAGAGGTATATCTTTAATGAATATTAGTGAGCTACTGCCACTTAAAATTTAAACCCATTCTAAGTCTGTTTCAAGCATGAATGCAGAAGATATATTGCCATAGCTCGGTCAATGATATGTGCATTGAATGAAGGCCACGGTGGTATCTGGTTGTTGAGTATTCTATGTATCTGTATCTTTGAGACTAAGATGACTTATCGGTACTCCCGTAGTGTGTGTACCAGGTTAGGGACATGCCATAATTTTAGTTCGGGGCGCTCTGTGTTAACCAAGTGAATATTCCCCTACCCATAGTTTCATCTCTTTTCACAACTTGATGCAAAGTAGGTGAACAACATTAGTTATCTCCCTATTGGTTACACGTACTTATGGAGCACCAACTTATCTACCTTTATCTGACATAGGCAATGACGTGGTTACATAGTCTCAACAATTATACATTCTCTTACAGTTAATGGTTTGAATTGTTTCAACCAAAATATTTTTTGATAGCGGTATATAGTTCTAATCACTAACTGGTGCAGTATGCGCTAAAGATTTATGTTTGAATTGTTAGAGTTCATGCCATTGTTTATAGATAGTGAGTCACACCAGGAAGCTTTCCCTATTCATCGTTCATTGAATTTTGTGTTCTGACCTTGGATTGGCTGTTGAAGTGGAAGTAAAGGGAAATGGTAGTGGCAGTAGCTTGACCTAGTTCGTTTACTGAAGTACTGCAGGTAAATAAAAGTTAGGGTCGCACATCCCTGTCTTAGGCCAATAAGGTCTTGAACATATGTATCCTGTCTCTGTTATACCGTTCAATTATTGTGCAGATTCTGTTACATTTTTGAGGCAAATGAACATGCATACATTCCTTATAATATATTCCTATCGATACAATTTATAGTGTGTTGACTGTTGACCTCTACCAGAGTAAATAAGGTAAAAAATTTTGAAAAAACACTGAATAAAATAGAACAAAACTGCCTAAGATTTTTTGAGAACTGACTTTATAACAAAATTGAAATTGTAATAGGACTTTATAAACACCCTATATTAATAAGATTGCCAGAATTCTTAAAATTATCATCTGTAATAGCCTAGTGTTGTTGTGGCATCGGAAGAGGTGAAGATAACAGAATAGCTAGAAAGTAATTATTATTTTAGTTCTATTACGAGTTTGAGGACTGTCTGTGTTACCCAAGTGAATATACTCCCTAGTTTCAGTCCTTTTACACAACTTGATGTAAAGTAGGCGAATAAAATTAGTTACCTCCATATTGGTTCATACACCTTTGGAGCGCCCAAATGAGAGCCTTATGAAAATGAACACCCTTATGAAGTGTCACTTGAACTCAAAATTACACTTTTTTAAGCTGTCGGTGTCAGATTTCAAGTTCCTATCAGTTATCAAGGTCATACTTCAAAGCAAATTGCTTTGCTGTCAATGACTTAAGGAAACTTATTTTAATTTTATCTTCAATTTTCTCTTCGATATTGCTATATTTTGGAGCGTTTACTTGTACCATGTTTCATAGTTTAAAAATAATTGAAGACTGTAGGTAGCGGATGAGAAATGCAATAAAATTCTCTATTTTACAATTTTACAGATATTGTACAAATGTGCTTTCATGTTCTCTTCCACAAATAAGGTGTTCATAAAGTCTTAATAATTTTTCAAATTGCTATGAGATTTTATTGATACTGTATAATATTGTTTTGGCCCTCACAGATGTATTGAATGAAGTAAAAATACTTGAACAATTACTGATTAAAAGCAATTAACCTGGTTATTAAGATATATTGTGAACTTACTTCATAACAAAATTAAAATTGTAAGGGGACTTTATGGACACCATAATGAGTAGACTGAATTTATATAAAATTGCTTTGTGATTACACAATGCTGAACCGGGAAGCTTCAGGTCCTTTAAAATTTAAAGTAGCTCATTACATATGATGGTAGTGCTTGCTTGTACAGAGCAGGGATTACCGACTACCGTAGTTAGCCCTTTATTTGTTTTCGATAGCATGCATCTGGAGGAGAAAGCTGTATCCGACCAGCGGTTACATGAACCTTCTTACGGCGGCGAGGAGTCCAGCGATCCTCTAGCACATAACTATTCCCACATGGGATTCGAACCTGCGAACCCATGCATGATAATCAGAAGGGCAGTGGCGAGCGTATTCCGAACGCTTAGCACGATGAGCCACACCGTAAAAAAAACTAATTCTTGTTCTTTTCAGTTTGATTTGCTGTAAAGGTATCTGCTTTAGTAACCGCTATTTGGATAATTACTAAAAGTTTGTAATCTTCAAAGTGATAATTAGACTACATTATGACTTAGATGTCTCTCCATATTGGATACCACTGGATTTATATTTGTGAAATATTGTGACTGAAAAAAGAACCGTCACCATGGCGATGGGAGTGTCTAGTCAACAACAAAGCCAGGCACCACCTGGTGGAGGAAGACATCCGCGGAATATATTCAGTCATTTTCGAGGGTATGTAATTTAAATAATTTTATCTTATTGTCACTCATGATTTGATTGTTTATAGCCAAAGTATATACTATGGAAGTATAGGTAGATATCAGCTTTAAAGTTGTACTACCCATTTCTTTACGAACCCGAGATCCGAAGCCGAAGTCCCCAGATTCCACAGTCCAGCCAAATGGCCAATTAAGTTGTAGAGGCTGGGTAATTCAAATCCTGGTAAGTTGGGATGCGATGAGACAGAGACATAAATATTTTAGACTTTATTTTATTAATGTTTAGTTATAGGGTTTGTGAGGTGAAGTGGTTGTGATAGAAGGTTTGAAATTGCATATTACTTACTGATTCAGATTTCATGAAGCATTCAATGACGTCGTGGCTCCTCATCACCAGAGAATCGTCATTGATAAGAAATATGTTGATAAAGCATCAAAGCTTATGGATAAGGTAAACTTTCTACTAATTCAATGCTTTTTATTACTGGTTTATCGGATTTTTTTTTCACGTCTTTGTCCCATCAGACTTGCTAGCTAATCTTTCCTGTAAATTCAGGGGCTTTCATATTTTTTAAAACTTTTCTCACTGTTTCAAAGTCATAATACTGCCATCACTTTCAAGGCATAATAATAATATAGGCTACTTGTTCCAATTCAAATGCTGGTTATTTCGAATTTTTAAATTGACACAATGCAATTCCCTGTGATTGTATCATTATTGGTTCCATTACATTTGAACCCATGACAATTGCACCTGTATGCTATTGCATCTATGGATTTTTTTTTGTTTTTTGGATAGTTGAACCCATACTAACCCTAACCCATGGGTTTTAGCACCCGCATATAGATTGAACCCGTGGATATACGCATGGGTTCAAATGTACGTGGGTTCAAATGTACGGTCACCATCATTATTGCAAGTATGCAGGGCCTATTGATTTGAGGTCACCTGATTGTGATATTCTTCTTGTATAATCAGGAGAATTACTCAGACTAATATATCGTTACTTGATTTTTTTCCTATATACCGGTATTACTGCGATCACAACTCACAAGTCAATCACTTCTGTTTAAATTCAAAAATTTTTTTTGATATTTTTCTCACCGTTTCAAAGTGTTTATCCCATCATAACAAATTACCATAATATATGCATTTATCATCAAGACCAAGGTATTTCCACATTTGAACCCACCCGGCAGTTTCTAAGCCTTATGATTGTAACATTATGTTATGTGGCTCATTGTTTATTGATTTGAGGTTGCCTGATTACAATATTATTCTTGTATAAACAGACAATCTATTTAGATTAGTCATCAAATTTTTGTTTCATGTTATGACTCAAATCCTTGTAGAAAATATTTTTATGTTTTTCATGGATCAAGAAAGCCATACTAATGAATAATGTAGGTCAAAAATTGTATAAATCAAATATACCGGTATTAGTCAGCCAAATTGAGGATTTTGAAATCAGTCAGATTACCTTGAATTCAAAGTATTTTTGAAGGTTTAACTACTGTATCAGTAAAAATCATAATTATTTAATTAAACAAAAAATTAGAAAAATTTATTTATTGATAAAACACTGTAGGCAGTGTTGAATGCGTCTGGTGGATAATATTAACCTGAAACTACCGTAGATAACATTAAATAACATAGGATATTTTGTCAATATAGATTATTTGAAATTGGAATAATTTACCATTTAAAAACTATGGAGCAATTTAATACAGTTGCACTTGAGGCTATCAAATTTTCACTTGTTAATAAGTAAACTGCTTATTTTGTCAACAATTTAAATTACCATTTTTACAATTTTCCAGTGATCATTTTTGAATGGTTCACTGAATGGTTATCTATATATTGTTTTATATTCACCTGTCACTGTCAGAATTGATGAAAAATGTAACTAAAGCTTCAACTTCCAAAATGTTATTATCTACCAATGTGATAAAATATTGTTTTCTTGAAATCTGTTTTCCCCTTTTTTTTATTTGTATGTTTAATAGTCCAATTGTCCTATTGTTTGTATTTTCTCCTTACCCTGTACAAACACAATAGTATATCAGCTGTTTTTGCTTGTTGCATAACAACAACCATACAACCAACTTGTTAGGTAAATTACTTTCGAAGATACTTTGTTTAATATTACCTGATTTTTCATAGATTTTGATCAGAAATCTGCTATTATTAATGAGTTGATTATTAATTTCAAACCAAAAAAAATATTCTATTTATTAATGTACATTATTTTAAATTCCGTTTAATAACTGTAAACAATGGAATAGTTTCTAAACCCTCTTATAAGCAAATCTTTGTATCGGCTTGGCTATATTTTACAATATAGACATATTAAAACTAGTAGGCCTAGTTGATAAGCTCTTACATACTACCGGTAACTATAACACAGCATTAGTTTAGTTATATAAGTGTTTTGATTACGGGTTACCAACATTATAATTAGTGGTTTTTATAGGAATTTGTGATTAATTACTACCTATATGTATGAATGAAATTTTGAACCAGTGAAAGTTTTCCAATGCTAAATGACGCTTATGAAAAGAATTTCACTTCATAAATAAAATTGGTAAAAAAGAAGAAAATAGAGCATCAGATTTTTATACTAAAAGCTAAACTATTAAACTTGGGTTTCATCAGTGATAAATTCTAGTTCATATTATCTATTCTAGTTCAAGTTAAAATAATACTATGGCTTTAACCCAAACACTAAAACGTGGAAAAATTGATTTGAAAAAAATGAGGCGAACAAACATCTATGATTTTGTTGAAATAGCCTACCTAGATTATTACATTTCTCGTAACTGACCACATAGGGGCAGTTTTGCCAACTTTGGGAACCGTTGATCCCGAACATGACTTCAAACCTTAGAAAACCAACTCTAAAAGCAGCTCCCACCGCATAATTGTTTCGATTAAAATCTTTTGATAATTTCAACATTTACTCTTTTGTTTTGTGAGTAATTGATATAAACTCAGATCACAGAAAAAAAATATTTCTGAATCACAGCTAGACTTTAAATTATAAACTTATTCAATTGTTCTTGTCAGGTTTCCTGTTGGATGGAATCCAAATAGTCTTGTGTAAATTTGCTTAAAGTCTGGTCACTATCTGCATTGTGCTTCCAAAATATCGTAAAATTCACAGACATGAGTGAAAATACATTTAATGACAGTTAAATTTGCTGATTCTTCTCTGTTTTTGTTTGGGTTGTTTTGAGTATACATTCATATTCCGCATAATACATATTCATTGATCAGTGTGTCAGTGTGTAATTCTCCTTACTGCTCATTAGTCTAGTTTCCCAATGCTTTTACAGTGTACTAAGAATTCTAAGTGATGAGATCATATATAGGGCCATTCCAAGCAAAAGTTGAATTCCATCAATTTTTTAAGAAGTGTAGTGAAAGTAATTTTTTTTATTTTTGATATCAAATGACATTGGAAATTTATTGGACTGCATTCATTTCATCGAACAATATAAAATTTCACCCAGGTTTTTGATGGTTTATAAAAAATGGCCTGAAATGTAGAAATTTTGGTATAATTGACATATTTTGTGATGATTCCTGACACAAAGTGTTTGATTGTGTGGTACAGTTATTTCATAGGGAATTGACGCACTGGATTTAAGTTAATAAAGTTTAAATGTTTGCAGTGCTGTAGGACATTTCTTCACCCATTTAACGATTTATTACCAGAATTTTAAGAGATGATAGAGGCCGCTATTCCGAAATGGAAAAATGTTCTGTGGTGTCACGTCCTGTAGTATCACATACAATATGCACATTATTGGCATGGATTTACAGTGTTACATTAAGTAACTTGAGCCACACATAGAGGGGTAGTTCAGCTACTGCACCAGAAAATATTATGGGCTCCCACTGTACCATCGCAAAAATTTACAGCATAACACACAACGTACTGTTAGTGCATGGTGGATTTGCCGCCCTGTAGTGTCACGCTATATTTTACTATATTTTTTTTATCTATTAAGTAAGTCTTGGGTGAAACTTTTGTGCAATTTTTTTCATATTCAATAAAGCAACTGATTGGACAATGAAACAAAACATGTAGCTGAAAATGTGAAAATATATTGCATCCAACAACATGCAAATTTCTGGAATTGTCCTGTAGTGTCACTTGGATAGCCCTATAGAATCTTCATTGCTCAATATTGCATCGCAGTTGTAATGATTATTAGACTCTTTCCATACTTAACCAAGACTGAGGAAACATTGGTCTGCATTATGATTAAACTGTTCAGGTTTTTACGAAAATGTACAATTCAGATGGTAGCTACATATTATGCCGTCTATATAAAAGAAAATTCAAATGGCCATGGGGATCATGTCCATCCCTACACTTAATTGTTTAGTACTAGAATATGCAGTAAAAATTGAATGTAGATACAGTTCAAATTTACAAGCAGCACTAGTTGGAAGTGTTTATTTGCAGCGGCATGAAAAATATTTACAGTGTTGTTTGCAAACAGATAATAGTTATAACTGTGAGTGAGTCATAAAAATCTTTTTGAATCATATTTGCAGAACCTCTATACCTGTCATATGCATGTCTCACAATATAACTCTTAGTATCAATATCCTACTGCAGTACACTTTGTATAATTAAGGGGTCCAATAGTGCAACTTTATTAAAATTGAGGTACTCCTGAAGTATGCTCACCAAGATGTCGCACAACCTGAACCTTAACCCTGGTACATGCGGCATCTTGGTGCGCATACTTCAGGAGGTCCAAAATTAGATTGCCAAATCTGAGTCCATGAATCTATTAATTATTTCTACAAAAATGAAGAAGTTTAATGAAGACTTGCGCTTCTCTTTGTGTACGGTTGGACTCGAAAGTTTCATTGATTTAGAATTCTTTGCCGCAACTTATTTCAGGATTTCTGTTTTTTTGGTCACTGTATTGTTGCTATAGTCTACAATAGGGCATTCAAAACCACTGGTGATTTACCTAAAATATCACAAATTCCAATATACTCCCATCATTTATTTCAAAATATCTTTATTTGATATTTATCACACTTCAAATCATGTTGCTTTTATATAAAGTAATGAGAATTTGTTGATACACTGCACGTATTGTGCCTAGCCAAGTTCCCTTTCTCCTATAGGCTTACTCATAGCATTGCGGAAAGGGGCAATGTGACGCCATATCCAACATAATAGAGGTTTTATTCTTGCTGTTATTGGTTTAAAAATGACAAACCTTCGGCCAAGGTAATATATGAAATTATTTTCAAGTCAAATTATGAATGAATTCACAAAATTGAATTTATTCAAATCTTCGGTATATTATTTTAAAACCTTTCAAATGGTATTTGTATTGTTATATTGACATGACACAATTAAACAGAGGATATGGCAGGCAATTTTCATTCCAGTTATTTGCTGTATACACTATAGTAAA